GGCGGTGCTCCCCCCGCTTCCCCTTGAAAATAAGCATAAAAGCGTGTCATCTTGGCAAATCTTGTTATAGACAATGGACACTGCTTAATGACAATTTCATGAAATTTAAAAAATACTTATCAGTCCACTTCTCATTCATTTGACGTGTTCCTCGCTCTCTTTCCTCTCATCTAACCCTCCCCTCTCCCTCTCTCCCCAGGTGCTGGCCTCGATACCCTACGAGTGGTCTCGAACCCAGCTCGTGTCATTCTCAGCCCTCCGTTTCCTGCTGATCCCTCCCCTGGTTCTCTGCGCCGCGCCCCGCTCCTCTCCTCTCCTCTCGTGGGAGGGGTGGCCCATGCTGTTCAGTCTGCTGCTGGGTCTGAGCAATGGACTGGTGGGAAGTCTGCCTATGATCCTGGCGCCCAACAAGGTGGCCGATCAGAACCGGGAGCTATGTGGTGAGTAAGAAGGAGATGGAGATGGAGAGAGAGAGAGAGAGAGAGAGAGAGAGAGAGAGAGAGAGAGAGAGAGAGAGAGAGAGAGAGAGAGAGGAAGGGAGAGAGGGTGGGGGAGGGAGGAAGGGATGACTGAGGTGGTAGAAGAAAGGAAATGAAGAAAAGGAAAAGGAGGATGGAGAGAAGCAGGGGGGATATAGACAAACAGAAAGGGGAGCTCAACGCACTGCCGGTAATTAATTTGCAGGTTGACGAAAAATCGAGAGAATTCCGTATTAAAACCAAATCATGCATCGGTTTTCGTCTTATCGTTACATTATTGTAGTCGCCTAGCCCCGTTGGGTCTGCCTTGATTTGACGTATTTCTTACAATAACCACCACCAATTTGACCTTCCCTGACCTCCCCCTCTCCCCAGGTAACGTGATGACCATCAGCTACTCACTGGGCCTTACAACGGGCTCCCTGCTGGCCTACGGGCTGGACGCCCTGCTCGGTCCACCCGTCTACAGCACCTGCGGCACCCTCAACATCACAGACCTGTGTCTCACAGACGGGTGTGAGCCGCTGCTGCTAGCAGGAAATGGAACACGGCTGCTCGGATAGGCTGGTAGACGAAGGCGGATAAGATTGCTGGGATGAGATAGGGTAGCTCGGATAAGCTGGGAGATGAAGGCGGATAACATGGGATGAGAGAGCGTTGGGGTCGGAATGGTTGAAATGTGTTGAGAGATAGGATGAGCGGGATAGGAGGGACTGATAGGAGGGATAGGGTAGGATGAGTTGGGAATGGGATGAGAGGACAGAGAGATCGACTGCTTTCATAAGCAAAAGGCTTCTGGGATGATACGAAGACGGAATGTATTGTTTGAATTAGCCAAGGGATGGGTTAATGACTGCCCCAAGAATGAGGGAAATGAGCTGGCTTGAGTTGAGTTAGTGAACCGGATTGCTCGACGGGGAAGGACTTAGGGATGTTTAATTATCGGGCTTAGATAGGCCATTTGATTGCCAGCATCAGCTGCGTGGCTAGGCTGATCTTCTGGGCTGACAAGGAAATATTTTTTATATTTGTTGATAACGTATTTTATGTTTTTATGGTTGACATCTTGGTTGTGTTTTGAACATATCAAGGAGGATAGTGCGTAGTTGAGTAAGTTCAATGGCTTAACGTCGTGATGCAGCTCTCTCGGAAAGTACCTAAGTAGGTAGGTATAGCCTAAAGAGTCGGTTTCATGGTCTCAGCGCCTATAAATGCGCAGTGATAAAAACAGCGTGGTAAGGTTGGTAACGCAAGGAAGCATATCGCTGTTAATAATTCAAGGCTAGACAAAGACGGAACTTTATTTAAAGTCAGTGATATGCGTGTGATGTGCGGTCTACTGAGGCGTGTAGTAGATATTCGGTAACAGTAATGTTTCTTCAGATGTTTCTTCTCTTTGCCGAATGCAGTCAGCTTTTAATTTATTCTTGTCGCACTGCCTGTTGATTGGTTTGTTCACGTGCCCTGGCACGTGGGACGAATTATTTCGTATCCTGTCCTCGGCAAAACGATGCAGTCGTGAGGTTCATTGATTCATGAGCCAAAATGGAAGCATCTCTGTCCGTTAGGGACCAATTAGCCGAAAATAAATCTCTTATATAACAGACAAGCTAACCCATTCAATGAATTTTATGAAGCCAGGGTGTGTGCTTGTGGATGTCTCTGTCATTTGCTTTGTCCGAATACTACTCTGAGTTGGATAATGTATACATAGGTATCTGTTCTTTCTGATTCACCTTAAACCAGGCGAGTATTGTATTGTCGAGGTCAGTATGTCATTAGTAACAGCTAGCTAAGACTAGGATATTTTGAGTCATGTAGTGGAGTGTGTTTTACAAACGAAGCGTACCAATTCTGAGTTTATTATTGCTGATATCCTATAACCGATAAGCTGGCTATTATTTAGGTATAAATTTGGCACAGCAACTCATTGGGACCACATATATGATATTAGCGGTAGTACGATGTGTGTGATTACGTGGTAAATGGTGTGCTACTGAAATAAATGGCGTGTAAGCATCGCCCATGTTTTTTTAGTTATATCCGATAGAACGGGACACCTGCACGCAGAATAATCACTATTTCCATAAGGTACTCACTCAACCATGCTACTTGCGTATAACGCACTGGTCCATGTTTGTCTCATAGTCTCAGAAGCCGCTACCATGGTAATAGTGGGCAAACTCAGCAGGCTCACCACATATAAGCCGTCATCAGCCAGCCACAAATACCAGCGAAGGCGCAGGATAGGCTCGTTGTTCTGGAAATGATCGCAAATACATCGCCAGATTGCGGGCACTTGGTCAATAAACCTTCACAATGGCCGTCTTAACGTCAAGTAATCTTCAACAAATTTCTGTCGAACAATCGTAGCTTCAGGTGTTTTTTCGTTTTGTACCGGCCCAAAGAGCGATCATTATTTTACGTAACTGCGCAGGGAATGATAAGCGGCTATTCTGTGTAAGGGAGCAAATAAAGGACAACATACACATACAAATGATACACGCTCAATAAAACGGACGTATGAGTCGCTAAATTTGATTTAATAGACTTTGTGAGAAGAATGGACTGCAATTTGACGTCACACATGCTGGTATTTAGAGATTTACAGAGGCATTTTCTTATTTACTGGAGACGGAATTGAAAATGGAGTTCTGTAACGCTATTTGAGCTTCTCAGTGTAGACTGTAGACTTGTAGAGTGTAGACGCTGAATCGTCCAGTTGCCTTTCCCCGGTAAGCACGCACGCGAGCACTCTTTGAGTGAGGAACTATCGACCATGGATGCTCCCACTGATCCTCGGTTTCCCAGTGATCGCAATATTACTACTCCGAGTCTCCCAGTGACCGCAAGTCGTCACTGTAATCCACAGTGATCAGCCCTCCCCTGAGTCCTCCCCAGTGACTCTGCCTGATAGTGATAGCTGATCCCTCCCCTCCACCCGAACTTATTGCTTGAACTTGATAGCTTATTGCTCTGAGTTTCCCAATAACCACCGCATGCTGTACCGATCCCTCCTCAGAGTTACCGCGGTTAATCCCCCCTAAGTATCTCTACTCCGCAGAAACGCCGCTCTGCACCGAGCCTTCGTCGGCTGAGGACGTAACCACAGCTTACCTGCTCGGCAAGCATCACTCGCTCGTCAGAGGCCGCTGCACCATGACCTCCGGATCACCGCTCCTGTCCAACCTCAGCTCGCAGTGTCAGCTAGAGTGGCAGCAACTCGTCTGTCGCTACCGACCTCCTCCCGCGCAACCTGTGTGCGTCGCTCGAGTGGATCCGGACCATTCCGTGTCGTCCATCTACTCGCTGCTGTTGTGGCTGATTGTGACGTCTGTGGTGCTGGCCGTGCTGCTGAATGGTGCCGTGCTCCTCACAGTGGCGGCAAATCAACGCCTGCATACCGTCATCAACCATCTAGCGGTGCTGGGATGTTTGAATAACCTCATCTGGACGGCCGTTCCTCTACTGGAGGCGAATGTTCGCGGCCCGCTCAGTGATGCTGCGTGTAGAGTGCGATTCCTGCTTCTGAGACTGACTCCGACGAACAATTTCTTTCTACTAGTGGTGACAACCCTGCTGAGGTATCTCATCGTCATTCGGAATCGCCGGTTTCCGTCCAGCAAGGCGAACCTTCTGATGGTGACGCTGCTATCGCTGCTACCGTCTGTTCTGATCGTAACCCTTATCGGACAGTATGGGCCATCATACGGAAAATGTAGTGAAACGATCGCCTGGACACCGGATGACTTCAAGATCTCGATCGCGCCAGAGAGGGAGGATCGCGAGCGCGTCCTCGTCTTTGCTGCAATCATGTACGGCGTAGGCTTCGTCATCCTCGCATTCTGCTACGCCAGGATCTTAAGGAGGGCGATCAGCTCCAGACGTCTGGTTCGCCGTCATGCGATGGTCAACTTGGCCATGCAGTTGCTGCCGCGTAACTTCAGCCAGCGTTTCAGCAGCACTGGGGCGGCGGAGGCGGCGCGGCTGGGTCCAAAACGTGCTGGAGAGGATGATGTCGCTGGTGGTGAAGATGCCGTCAGGGCTGCTGTAGGAGAAGCAGCAGGACGCAGCGGAGACGGAGAAGAAGGAGTGGGTGTTCGTGGGCCAGCCGATGGGAAGGCCGCTGATGAGAGGTCTGACGAGGAAAGAACAGATGAGCAGCCTGCTAATGGAAGAATGGTAGCTGGAAAATCTACTGATGAAAACCCTACCGTTGATAAAGCAGTCAATAGATGTGCTGATGGGAGATCTGCCGATGCAAAACATGTCGCAAATAAATCTGCCGACGGAAAATCGAGTGGCGAAAGATCGAAGGACAACACTTCCGACAAGAAAGAACCACTCGATAGAAAAGCTACCAATGATGGAGCTGGGGATGGAAAAACGGCTACGAAAAACATTGGCAGAGGGCAGTTAAGTTCCGAACGACCTGGCATGGTAAGTCGTGAGGGAAAGTCTGGATTTACGGAGTCTGCTAACACCAATTCCACTACAGCCGGCCTCTCGAACCATCAAGGCGCCGTTGGGGGAGATCTTGATGAAATCCGTAGCTGTGAGATTGACGGAGAAGAATCCCAGATCAAAAACACTAGAGGACCAGGAGGCGACGCTGGAGATGTCGTTAACCCAGCATCTGACTCGGAAATCTCTCAGGAAAATAGCGGTGGCCCGCCGTACTCTCGCCACTCTCCCGTTTCGCCCTCTTTCTCTGCCAGTCGCGTGTCCCTCTCTCCCACTGTAGCGCCTTCTCCCAGCGCCCCTCACGTAGCCGCCTCTCGCTCTCCACGTCATTCCCCCAGACGTACTCGGTCGTCCCTCTCTACTAATGGCGGCGGGTCGTTCAGACATCGCAGCAACCACTCCCAGCGGCTCGCCCGACCGGTGGCGGTGGGCCTCGGCAGCGAGCTCGCCGCCTCTCTGCTCGCCGCCATCGGCGAGGTCGAGGTCACCCATCTGCGCGTGCCCTCAGCGGCCTCACCGCTCCCCCCGCCTCGAGGAAAGTACGGGTCGTCACGTCGAGGTCTGAAGAAGCGCGTTGCTGAGACGCAGCAGTCGCCGAGCGTGGCTCCCGAGCCGGCTGTCCAGGCGGTGGTCACGGGTGTAGAGGCGGCGGTGCAGGCAGCCCAGGCGCCGGAGCCCGTCACGGTGAGACCTCTGGTTACCGCCGTGAGGAACCAAGCCGGAGGGCACCTCGCCAGACAGGATATCGTTGCCACCGCCTCTCTGATCGCCTTTCTGGTGATCTTCGCCGTCTCATTCGTGCCGTACATCAGTCTGATATTTATGGATAAGAATTTTAAATGCATCATCATGCCCGATGCCCGGTTCCGTCTGTGGCTGGTACTGATCATGAGTGGAGGCATTACAGCAGTCCTGAACCCACTGGTTTTCGTGCTGTTCAGTGCTGATTTTCGCAGGGCGTTTGAGAAATCATGGTCGACGTTTGTGCGCCGTGTATCTAGATATGTGCGACAAGAGCCCTTCGAATAAAATTATGTCGTGTGGTAGTGAAAATATCTTACATTTGTGGATGTAGGCATATGACAAATGACAACATGTCGAGCATAGTTGTTTGATGCCTTCTAGTGTTTTCTTTTGAATTTTCCTATTCATAAATTTTCGTGAATTGAAGGAATTTTCGGGTTCGCACCGCATTCTTCCCAACTTGTTTAAAGTCTTTTTTGTTATTCATTGCTTATATCTTTTTCCTACCACTATTTTTTTATGGAAGCACTTGGTGCTATGTTTGATCAGGTGACTAGCCTGTGCCGTCCTTTGTACAAAAATGTATTACTGTATAAATAAATACACAATTGTTACACGTTTCTATGTGGCTTTGTTCACCCAAACCGTTTAAGGTCTACGGACGCCAGAGAGACGTCTTTGAGCCATGTTAAAAGGAAAGAGCGCAATTCGGTTCGAACTGACTTCACTGCGCTGACTAGCTTCGCTTGCTGTGTGTTTATTTATTTATTTATTTATTTATTTATTTATTTATTTATTTATTTATTTATTTATTTATCTATTTATTTATTTATCTATCTATTTATCTATTTATTTTAGACGAATGTGTCAATTGCGAAAAGGCACGTTTTTATCTCACCGTTTAAATTGCGACTTCACTGGGAGGCCTCAAGAGTGTCGGGCGTACCCTTAGGACCTTGCAAACCCCGCTATTTCGACTGGCGTACCATTGATGATAACGATCACGTACCCGACCTGCCCACTAAGCCAGGACGTAGGCACACTATGTAGGTTTATTCCTAGCAAGATGTTCCGAGTGCTCCGCCCTCGGATTGTCAATAGTTCCAACATAGTTGTGAGCAGTACCTAAGCAACCAGCGACTGACAGCTGAAGGTGCCGCCATACCGCGCACGAAAGGTCGAAAGGTCGGTCGGTGTTTTTTATGGCATGGCGTGTCCTGAAACTTCAGCCTACATATGAGAGAATCATATGACATGCTCTCATGGTGGGATGATTGTCCGTGAGGCTGGTCGGTGCGTCCATCGTGACGGGCTCAGCCCCGGCGGCGCACCAGGGTGCCCGCCAGACCAGTCTTCCTCTTATTCCTATCATCCTTTGTGCTTGCTGAACCGAAGGGACCCCTAGCCTAACAAAAAAATAAAGTAAAACAAATAAACTAAGCGTCTCGCGGTCAGAGAGTCCATAACAAGCGACAACTTCATCGCTCGGACTCCGTTTCTGCAGGCGATTACTATTAAATAGAAAAGAACGACAATATGCTTATAGGTTACTCACGGATGGACAGATTTCGAATACTTGGCTGACAAAATTAGCTTTGGCACCTGCCACCTGACTTAGCTATAGGTACGGACCGAGGATCACGGCTTAAATTGCAATTAGCACAAAACGTATTCGTAAATTACCTGTTTACCTGTGGGCAACCATCAAATTTCATGATTTTGTGTGCATTTTCTTCCACCCCCTATGCCACTGGTGTCCCATGCCCATCCCATGTCATACAAAATAAAACGTCAGGTATTGAAAATCCATGGT